TGTCATGCCCTCTTTCAAGGGATCTTCCTGGCTCAGGGGTCAAACCTGCATCTCTTATATCTCCCGCATTGGCGGGCAGGTTCTTTCCCACTAGAGCACCCTGGGAATACAGCTATGACCTCAATTTACCTGGGAATCCCATGTAGGACCTCATTTCACCTAACCTCCTTACAAGCCCTATCTTAAAAAATGTCACCCGGGGGTTAACTCTTCAACACAAATAGGGGGTGGGGGAACAGTCCATCCATAACCCTAGGTGACCTCACCAAGAGCACCACAGGTGACTGCTGCTCAGCAAGATGAATTTTACTACTTTATACTCAATAATGTTTATGTTCCACCACAAATTATTCTAATCTTATTCCCTTTTCTTTCATCTAGATATTGAAATCTTTTTTGAGGAGGTCGTTGAATGTCTCTGGGACATACTGGACAGAAAGGAACTGCTCCACCTGCTGAATGAATTCCTGGAAAGAATTAAGACTGAGGCCAGTTTGTCCAGGTAACCTGCACAGGTGCACCAGGAAAGTCACCCACGTCCCCCAGCACCAGGTTAGCTTCTCCTGGCAGGCACACCTCCTCCAGGAAGGACCCTATTGTTGGGGTCAAGGATGTTCCTTCTCAAGATCCCATCAGGAATGTTTCCTCCATGTCATTTGCTGAGTGTGAATGACCCTAGGTTGAGAAGAGCTGAAACCTGCAAGGAAGGGGCAGGTTATGTGACCTTGGACAAGTTACTGAACTCCTCTCTGCTTTAGTTTCTTCATCTTTTCATTTTTATTGTGAGGACACTGAGATCATGCATGTAAAGTGCTTCCCATAATGACAGAGTAAGGAATCAGTCAATATTAACACTTGAAAAACTTATTGGGAAGAGACAGGGCCCAAGGGTCTTCTTTCCAGTGATGAGAACCAAGCAGAATTTCCTTTGGGACAAGTTAGAAAATCCTGACACCATCATCTGTGTCCTGGGCTTCTGCCTACAGTCTTTCTATTCCCCATG